TCAGTTCCCCCCTCAGCCTTCCAGGTGTCAATCACTGCTCTGTTCTCCCATACCCAAAACCACTCTCACAATGCATCCAACCATCAAGCACCTGGTCGTTTCTCAACATCCACCACCTCCACTACCGTCACCCAGACATTCACCACCGTCATGTTATCTAGTTGACTGCAGAAGCCTCTATGATTCTCATGCCTCTCAAAACCTATCCTCAGTGCAACAAAATGAGATGCTTAAAATTAAGTCAGCTCCAGAGCCTCCGGGTGACTCAGTTAAGAAGAAGCATCGTGCCAGGCAGTGGTGGCGCACACCTTTAATCCCAGCACGAGGGAGGCAGAGGCAGGAGGATCTCTTGTGAGTTTGAGGCCAGCCTGGTCTATAGAGTGAGTTCCAGGACAGGCTCCAAAGCTACACAGAGAAACTCTGATTTGGAAAAGGGGGTGGGGAGTATTGCTATAAGAAAAAAACAGACTTGATCTGGTGTGGCAGAGTACTCCTTCAATCCCAGCACTCAGGAGGCAGAGACAGGCTAATCTCTATGAGTTCCAGGCCAGCCCAACTCTGTCTCAAAAAAAGAAAGGAAAGGAGGGAGGGAGGGAGGAAGGAAGGAAGAAATGAAAAAAAAAAAGAATATTCTAAAGAAAGAACAGTAAGAACCTCCATGATCCACAAAGTTGGGCTAAAAGAGCAAAAGTGCCCAGAAAAAGATAGACCACACATCAAAAAGAAGCCAAGCTGAAGAGGGCTCCAGTTGTGTAGCCCCCTGGGAAGGAATAGAAAACAGATGACCTATCCAGAAGGTAAGCCAGGCAGCCTAGGGGGAAAGAGCCTGACTGGCAATCCTACCCTCATCATAAGCCCACACAAACCTCATACAGTTATGAGTTTTAGTGAGATAGTGCTTCCTCTAGCATACGGGTCAGCAGTGGAGTGGAATCCCATTGTGTCGTTCTGTATTACTAGCAAGACATTGGCCTAGCATCATCTTCAGAAAGGTCCTAATATATGAAACTGAGAAATTAAGCTATCTTGAGAGATGGATGAACAGAGACAACCACAAATCTATCCCGCCACTGAGACAGTCCTGAGAGGCGGTTGTGAAGAGCAGGAGGGCTAGACACAGAGAAGCCGGAAAGCGCAGACGGGAGGAGGATCAGCTCACATAGAGTGATGCATATTCCTGTCCTCAGAGGCTGGAAACAGACCTCATCAATCGAGGCTAGCCTTAAAATGTGGTAGCCTTGAGCCTGAGGCCAGTGGGGGAATCAAGCTCTGGAGTCACTCATCTGCCATTCACTGATGCAGAGCTCAGCACTCTGAAGTGCATGCCTTCCCTTCGTCAAGGAGAGTAATACTTGGGACATCTTAAAAACACAAAGACATGTCCTCCACCTATACAGATCACAGCACTGTGGTTGCTTCCACTTGGGAGTAGCCTCTGACTAAGACATTAGTCATCCCCCAGGGGCAATGAGCTTAGGAATCTCCAGAGTCCAGCTCACAGACTAAAGCTAAGTGTAGCCAACAGAGGCCCCTGTTATGCGAAGAAGTAAGGATAATAAAACAGTTCTGGTAGGCATCAGACACTTGTCCAAGACAAGCTCAACATCAGCATAAACCACAGGAAAGATGAGAATCCACAAACTCAACTGGCGCTCTACAGCCCTGTGCATGCAACAGTCGGTCTGTAAGGGTCAGAGACCCACAAAGAAGCTGCTCCAAGAGATGGGTGAGTTTTCCTTTTTACTTCCCTCTCCTCTATCTCTCTCCCAACATTGTGCTTCCTCTATTTTTTTCCAGCAACTGTAAAAGCCAGAAGAACGTAAAACAATGTATGTCAAAGCCTGAAAGTAAGACTTCCATCCAAGATTGCTGCAGCCAGCGAGGCTATCTTGAGAAACTGGCAGATAAGTAAGAACATTGGAAGACAAGCACAGACCAAGGCAGTTCACAGCCACCGAGCCAGCACTGTGGAGGATGCTCAAAAGAATACTATACACCGAGGAGGAAGACAGATAGTCTCGCCCACAAGAGCACAAGAAGGAATAGATTTCAGAGCTGAGCATTGGGGTTGCACACTTTTAATACCAGCACTGGGGGGTGGGGGGGTGGGCAGAGGCAGGCGAATCTCTGTGCGTTCAAGGCTATCATGGTCTACAAAGAGAGTTCCAGGATAGCCAGAGCTGTTACACAGAGAAACTGTCTAAGGAAGAAAGGAAGGAAGGAAGGAAGGAAGGAAGGAAGGAAGGAAGGAAGGAAGGAAGGAAGGAAGAAAGAAAGAAAGAAAGAAAGAAAGAAAGAAAGAAAGAAAGAAAGAAAGAAAGAAAGAAAGAAAGAAAGAAAGAAAGGAGGGAGGAAAGGAGGGAGGGAGGGAGAAAAGGAGGGAGGGAAGAAAGAAAGAAAAGAAAGAAAAAAGAAAGAAAGTAGATTTCAGGAGAGGAATAGACAACCAAAGGACCAAAGAAGAGCCAGGAAGGAATTTGTTATGCCAAATCTAACACTAATGGAGAAGAAAAGAATGGATAATAATCCCACCAACCAGAAAACAATCCACACAAATCACAAGAATTAGTAAGCATCTTGAGGAAAGCCAAAGGCAGCTTTCCATAGTACATGTCCCAAATCATACACTCAAAATAAATAAAACTGCAAAGGACAACATCCGCAGCCACTAGGAAAACGACGGTGTAGGCAAGCAGCCTCTGTGCTAGCCCTGCCTGTTCGTGTCTATTCGTCTTTTCTCACTTGGGGGCCCTGAGCTCACATCCAGCCAGGCTTCCTCTTGTTACCACTGTGATAAACTGAAGTCCACTGATCTTCAGGTCAGAGGACCCAGGTGACAACCACATCACTGTCACCAGCATGTTAAGTGATGTTGGGCAAATCCCTTGGTCTTCAGCTTCCTTTCTGCAAGGGTTCAGACTGTGTCTCGAATCTCTTTGCTCAGAGTTCAGTGTTCCTAGGACATCAGTGATTTTTGTGAGCTCCCTCATAGAGGAATATGCTCAGTGAAAAGGGACCTGGAAGAGGGCTCAATAAATTCACAGGAGTGTGTACCCAGTGATGGGTCTCAGACTGAATGGCACATGGGGGATTTTTGTTTGGGGTAATGGGGTGGGACACTCCCATCACACAGTTGGCAATCTGATTCTAGACAAGACCTGTTTCACCCTAGAGTCTAGGCCTACCATGAGCCTCAGACCCCTACCTCCTCAGCAGAGGTGTGCCTGTGCCACCTACCCACCCACCCATCCACCCCACCCAGACCCCCGTGCCCGGGTATGACTGTCCCCTCTGTCAAAAACCAAGAAACCAGGCCAAATGCAGCAGCTTTGATCTTTGAACACAAAAATGGGTATTTTAGTCACTTGGGTGTCTGTACAGAGAGAGAGAGAGAGAGAGAGAGAGAGAGAGAGAGAGAGAGAGAGAGAGAGAGAGAATATCGAGGGCAAGAAAGGGCCAGGAGGAAAACCAGCTTTGACAAGCTAATAAATGTCAATTTCTGAGGGGGGCTGAGTGGAAGATGAATCCTTAGAACTTTAATTGGAGACAGGATGCTTTTCCTTTGCCAACAGCCCTGCCTCCTGCAGATCCCTCTACAGATAGTAAGTCCCTTGCCTATCTCTAATTGATGATAGGCCTCTGATGCTAGGATTTGTTTCTGGGCTGTCAAGATTCAGGTGGAATAGACTGATGCCCCTCAGAAAGGAGCAGGAAAGCAGCAGGATAGGGACCCCCCAAAAGCAAGAAGTCCAGTGGGCTGAGCAACCACACAAACAGCACTCTCAAAAGAGACATGGTCCCTCCTAGCTGGAGATACTTACTTCTGACCAGGCAGCAAGTCACATGGTGTCTTAATGGCTCCTAATCAGGGCAAGATGGGAAGAGAGAGCATCTTAAAGAGACATCTCCTTGTATTCACTGCTGAGGGAGAGGGTGGACCCCAGAGCCTCCACCACTGAGCCACACCTCCGGCCCACAAACATCTCTTTTGATGGACACTGAACATTTCAAATTTTTGCCTGTTGCCAGCATCACTATAACAAAGAGCTGAAAGCAGATCCTTGGCACTTATGCAAATATATTTATAAGATACTTTCCCAAAAGTGGAATTGCTAGGTCAGGAGAGCGATGTATTGAAAACATTGACAGTTATTGCCAAATTGCCCTCTGTGGAGGTTAGACACATTTCTCTTCCCATGAGAAAGATGAGGGTACCGATTTCCTCACAGCGCCGCCATTACAGTGTGTTATCAACTTTCTGGCCTGTTGCCAATCTGATAGGTGAGAAAATTGTTTACCACGGTGTAATTTTAATTTGCATTTCTCTTATTCTAAATGAGGTGGTGAGTAGTCATCTACATTTAAGAGCCATTTGTGTTTCCTTACATTAGACACACTTTGCTAGCCATTTATCTCCTTTGATCTCCATAATATCCCTGTGAGATCCACGAGGCAAATATTCATAATATCTGCATTTTAAAGTGATAAAGCTAACACTCAAAGCAGTTGAGATTCTGACTCGAAGTTACAGGCTGATGAGGCAGATCCAAAATACCTTGTAGGGTTCCCTCCCCCATGCCAATAGTTTCAATTTTTTTTTCATCTTATCTTCTCAATTAAGGTGTGCAATTTTTACCTGCTTTTGGATCAACACACACACACACACACACACACACACACACACACACACACACACGGGAAGGACACTGGGGTGTGTCAGAAAAGCAAGCCAGGAACCAGGAGTCAGAACCCAGAACCCAGGCTTCTAGCATGGTAAATTACTGTGGCTGTGTCCCTCTGAGCAAGTCCCTTGACTCTCCAGGCAGACTTTCTATATCTGTTAAACCAAGATTTGAACTAAATCACCAAAGCCCCTTCTAGGAAATGTTTATAGTGGGCAGAACTCCATGAATTTTTTATTATTATTTCTTTTTGAGTAAAGGAAATAAACACCCTAAGATGAGAACTCTCAAATCATAGCCATTTATGTGAACCTAGTTTAATCAAAGATGAGAAGTGAGAAGGCAGGAGGGTGATGGGGAAGGGGGCTTCGGGAAGAAGTGAGGAGGAAGGGGCGCTGCTATGGTGATATGCTGGAGCCAGATGGATGTGCAAGTCCATTGCAGGGTTTGCAGGGTTTGGAGCTGACTGATGTTCATTCAAGGGCTTAAAGTTGGCCAAGTGCTACAAATGGTAGCATTCCATCTCACTTGCCCAGAGTTGCCCATTTGCCATATTCATCTCTGCTGGAACAGAAGCATTAACAACAACAATAGCAACAATAATAATAACAACAATAAATAAGCAACAGGGGCACTGAGGCATTGACAGACAGTGTGGAGGGTAGGAGAACTGAAAAGATCTCAAAAACAGCATTGTCATGTTTAGACAGGAGCTGCTGACCACACTCGAGTTACCCAGGACATCAGATGACTCCATGTTACCTCTAGGAGGAAGACCACGATCCCTGGAGCAAACTGCAGAGTTCCTATCCCTGCTCCCCATAAGCTGATTGCTGCACCTAAGGGTCCCCATCTGAGCAATGGGGGGGGGGGGGTGATAACCACTGCCGCTCTCTTGGTGAGGGGTGGGGATGAATGAGTTAGCACTTGAAAAGTGTTAGAACAGAGCAGTAAGGTAGCTACAGCTAGACTGAGCGAAGGATCCTGAAGCACGAGGTTTTCGGTCCACCTGTAACCATGGGGTCGTGGGCAATCATCTTCTCCCTCTATGCCTGATTCTATATCTATAAAGAAGGGGAATGGATCCAACCAGCCTTCTCCTTCTGTGGCGCCAGGAGCCTCTGATCCATCATATGGGTTCCGCTCACAGTGAACATCGCACTAAATAAAATGTCCTCCCCCGGCTACCTCTGCCTTTCCCACAGTAGACCACAATGTCCTCTTCCCCCTTCTTTCTCCACAGCGGCCTCTCCTGTGGCTTGGCGCCCTTCCTTTACTCACCACACTCAAAGGACGTGCTGAAATGACCGAGCATGGGTCTCTCAGCCTGCAATGCTGTTTCCTTCCTCTGTCTTGGGAACGCTTCTGTCACCATCCCTGGAAACCTGTGATGCTCGGGGAGTCGGGCCTCCTTCCTCCGGGCCCCAGTACGCCAGAGCTAGTCCCTCCATCGTCCCCTCGTAGTATCACATGACACCCGGGGAGCTGTCAACCTCCCTCACTAGATGCTTTGGGCAGCTCTGCGCTCTTTCCTTCTGTGCCCATCACCTAGCTGCAGAAGACCCTCGACAGCAGAATGAAGTGAGGAGGGAGTCCAGCTACTGTGTGAAACAAGCCCTCCCTCACCCGCCCATCCTGTCCTCACACCATCTCAACCTGGTGTGATTCCCCAAAAGCTGCGAATGTTAGTGCGGGAAAGAGGAGAAATCATTCCGATTCAGACCTGGAAAGGACGCGCCAACCTGTTGAGCTGCCTATAGGCTGGGCAGTGTGTTCAGACCTCCCGGTTTTTGTGAGCTGTCACCCATGCTGGGGTGGGTCTTGGTGGTGCAGTTGCCTTTGAGTCATTTCTGCTCCTGTAAGTGACCCCCCTCTCCCACACTCCTGTAAGGAACCCCAATACAACTCATTGGTTCGCCACGTTGGACTTTGGTGATATCAATACGTTGGTCTTCTGTGGGATCCCTATCTGGAGTGAGTAGATGTGTGTGTTGTGTCTCTCCAGAAGTTTGTCACACAACAGGGAACAAGCCCTGTGAGGTAAGCCGGCACCTCACTCCTTGGTGTGGTAGCAAATCGGAGTTATTAAATTGATTGGATTGAAAACTGTGTTCATGGGAGGAGCACACACGCATGGATGTCCGTGACGGTGTTTCCGGAGATGATCAGGTCACCAGGGTTGAACGAAATCATGATCACGTCATCAGGTTGAGTGAATGAATTCATCAGTCTCTTGACATACTCAGAAGACAGCAGCGTTATTGGAAACCGTAAAAAGTAGGAGATGGTGTCTGGCCTTCTCCTCGCCCTGGCACTGGCTGTCACAGACTTGTGCTTCCCCATAGCCAAGCCCCGCCAGAGAGTTGGCACCTCTTCCACCCTCACCCTCCCCGCCACGTTTTTCTCTGTAGTACTCGCTGCCATCTGACTGGCTCGCCTTCACCTCTAGCTCTACTGTCTCTCTTGCCCTTCTACCTTGAAAGAAAGTAAGCTCCCTGGGGACAGAGGTGTTTTGTTTCTTTGTTCATTCTCCAATCCCACAGAGCCAAGACTACTATTTGACATTCTATTAGTGTTTGATCAATATTTGTTGCATGAATAAAAAAATTCCCCTGCCCTCAACTCAAATGCATGCACATACATACCCAAATACACGTCACATGCACATACCCACATGCACACATGTAAACTATTAAGGTCAGATTTCTGGGTGCCACCTAATTCCTACTGAAATGATCCTAATCGGGGTGTTGGCTGGTAATGAACTCCAGGCATGACCACTTTACGGGGCATTTGCCTTTTATAAGGTAGGCTTTTAGGAATGATAAAACTCCTTTTATGAGCCCATGGAGGGAAGCCATCATGGATGAATTATATGGCAGAGGTATTTTGTAATCCTTCCATCCCCACCTCAAAGTGCCTTCAAGAAGGTCTGCACAGAGGAGTCAGAACCCCAAGCCACAGAACATCCAGCCTCTGTGCCTTGCTGGAATCACATAACTCTTTAACTCCTAGAAAAGACACATCTCAGTTCTAACCCCTGATGTTCCCAGCCTGCTACCCTTCCCCAGTCTGCCCTCCCCTATACGAAGACTCATTTTGTCTTTGTTCAAAACTATTGTGCTCATGCACGCCTGTAGTTGGCATACCCGGAAGTATGGCTCTCTAAAGCAGGGCTCCCAGCCAGGCTGAGAGTAACCTTGTCCCCAGCTTCTGAAGCTCCTGATACTCCAGTGAAAAGTCATTAGGCGAGGACCCTCAAGTGACAGAAGAATTAGCACACCGGCCCTGAGCAGAAGACCCCACAGCGAGGGCCACAGTGATGACAGGCGAAGTGAGAGACCTTAGCAGGAGTGTCCAATGTTTAACACGGTGACATGACACTGTCTCCTACACAGTTCATGCTGTAGAACTCACCAATCAAGTTACAAAAAGAACAAAAAAAAAGAAAAATCTCCCAGTGTCTTGAGTAAGTTGGTGGCTTTGTGTGTTGGGCTGCCTTCATAGCTACACATCTGGCTTGCCTGCCAGTAGAAGGAGCCAGTGAGTTTATCCCACAGGAGAGGGCCCTGGGGTAACTGTCCCTGACCCTCAACAGCTCTGATCTGGGTCAGGGCACTGACGTTAGAAGATTCAGGCAGAGCACCTCTGAAAAGGGGGGCGGGGTGCAGCAGATTGTTCCTCTTTATGAGACACTGCCCTTAGTTAGGGACCCCCAGTCTGATGGGCAAAATGCTACCCCGCTTTGGGGATTATGTAAAGATCCACACACATCTCCTGGAGGAGGAGCTGGTGAGGTAGCAGGATGTAACCCCACCTCTAGCGGAGACCTAGGAGTGTTCACAGACCCTAGCAATGGCATGTCTATAGACATCCAGAAGGTGTCTGCCTGCAGACACTACAGTCTGAGGAAGCCCTCACCATCCTGCCTGGTGGCGCAGAACACTGAATCCTAGCTAGACAATACACTATGAGGACCCCCTCACAATCCTGCCCAATGTGAGCAGGAACACCCCTTAAGCTACCAGAACTCTGCATCGTAGCTACCCACACTCTCAGGCCTGGAGCAGAGGGCCTCATTTCTTGTGGGCTCTATGGGAAGGGCTTCTGGGCTTTTCTAGAATCAGGGAAAGGACTGGGGACAGCACTGCTCCCTTGTGCAGGGGTAGGGCGGTAGGTACCAGGCCCAGAATCCAGGTGCTCAGGACTTAGTCCCTAAGTGCATGCAGCCCACTGTGCAGATGGTCTCCATTGATCTGCCAGAGATTTTGCCAACTGGTCTGCTCTGCAGTCAATTCTTCTTCCAGCGCTCATCCCTCCTCCTCAGACCATCATCCATCTCCCTGCCTGGACCAGCAGGAAAGGGCAAGCTCTTAAAGGAGCCAGAGCCTAGGCCTCAGACACCTGTCAGCTGTCAGAGGGAGCAAAGCCTTCCTCTGTCCTGGGGCTTTGTCAGGGTTTGGCCATTCCTGTGGCTTCTGGCTGAGCCCCAGAGAGGGCCAGTGGAGCCAAGAAGAGGTGAATTGTCCAGGAAGGTGGTGCATGCCTATCACCCCAGGCAGAAGGAGTGCACATTTGAGGCCAGCTTGGAGGAAGAAACAAAAGAGAGGCGGTGAACGTGAGTTGTTTGTGCCTTTTGTGGGTCCGTCCTGTCCTCTCTCCGTTGTTCTACTGGATGACTCATGGAGACTCAGACTATCCTGAGATCTGAGAACATTGGCATCTGATTGTCGTGGGACGCTTTGGGGACAATGATGACTTGCTATTGAATAAAAAGACATGATTTCCCCTCACCTTATTTAACCTCATGGAGGTTGAGAGATGGCTACTACTCATAACTGAGATTAAAACACTAAGGCTGGACCCTCCCTTCCCAGGCCACCCCCACCCCCTAGGGATCTCGCTTCTTGGTGTGGACCCTGAGTCCCCCTAGGTCTTTTCCGCCACCTCTTTCAGACATTATTTCCAGCACATCTCCACTCCTTTGTGATTCCTGCTGGCTCATAAAAACACTCTCTATCAGGGACCCCACAGCCACCGCACTTGGTGAGGACCCAGAGTGTGCAACGAGCAACCAAAGAATAGAACACCCACCCAATAAAACATTCCAAATATCACACACAAAAGAACACAATGTGAACAGCCAAGACAAAACGCCTCCTCCAGAAGCCAGCAACCCTACTGCAATAGACCCTGAGAAAAAAGCAATTTGGCTGGAGCAAAAACAAAGACTTCAAAATAATAGTTAGGGTTATGTTAAGGACCTTAAAAAGGGCATGAATAAAGTCCTTCATGAGACCATGACCACAAACAAATAGTCCAATGAAACAACGAAAACAATTCAAGACATAAATAAAGAATTTAACAAAGAAATACAATCACTAAAGAAAACCCAAACTGAACTAAAACTGGAAATGAAAAACTCAAGAGCTCAAACAAATCCTCAGAGGTAAGCCTCACCCTCAGATTAAAAGACATGGAAGAGAGAATTTCAGGTCTTGAAGACAACATAGAAGAAATGGATACTTCAGTCAAAGAAAATGCTAACTCTAAAAAATCCAGGCAAAAAGCATCCAGGAAATGTATGAATAGACAAAACCTACAAATGATAGATATAAAGGAAGAAGAAGAAACCCAGGTCAAAGGCACAGAAAATAATTTTAACAAAAATTATAGAAGAAATTTTCCCCAGTCTAAAGGAAGAGGTGCCTATCAAGGTACAAGAGGCATATAGAACACCAAATAAACTAGACCAGAAAAGAAACTCCCTATGATTTTTCTTAACAGGACACCAATAGTGCAGATACTAAGACAAGCAATTAATAATGATGGTACCTCATGACGCTGAAAAGCTTCTGTACAGCAAAGTCCACCATCATTCTGGCAAAGGACCAGTCCACAGAATGGGAAAAGATATTTAACAATTATACATCTGATAAAAGGATAGCATCTGCCAGGCGGTGATGGTGCATGCCTTTAATCCCAGTACTTGGGAGGGAGGCAGAGGCAGGCAGATCTCTGTGAGTTCAAAGCCAGCCTGGTCTACAGAGCGAGATCTAGGACAGGCACCAAAACGACATAGAGAAACCCTGTCTTGGAAAAAAAAAAAAAAAAGGGTTAGCATCTAAAATATATAAAGAACTAAAAAGAAAAAATCGGATTAAAAAAAAACAATAACCTAATTGAGGATCACCTAGGAGATGGGGGCACACCGTGGGTATGTCTTTGGGAACATTTCCAGAAAGAACTGGGAGGGAAAGAGCCACCCTGAATGGGGGTGGCATCGCCCTCACAGGGCTTGGACAGATAAAAAGAGCCACCCCTTGAGAAAGGACCAGCGCTCCTCTGCCTCCACCCCAGGCCCACCATAATGTGTGCTCTTCTCCTCTGCCCTGCTCCACCACCACCGTGGACTGACACTTCCGAAACCCTGAGCTGAAATAAATTCTTCCTCCTGTATGTTGTTGCTGTTGGCCATTTTGGCCACAGTGACATCAGGGCCACTCTCCTCACTCACAAATACAGCCCTCAGGTTCAGACGATCCAACCTCCTCAGCCACCTGGTAGCTGCAGAAGTCATTCTATTTATTACTCAAAGGAAGCAGCCCTAGGGGAGGAGGGTCAGTGTCAATGAGATAATGACCCCGGTTCAATCCCCGAACCTACATCTTCCTGAGGCAGATGTGGTGGCAAGCATCTATAATAATACCAGGTGTGGATGGAAGCCAGAGACAAAAGAAGCTGAAGGGCCAGCTAGTCCAGAGTAGACAGCAGCAAAAACAAGAGAGACAGCCTACTTCAACAGCAGAAGCAACTCCTAAGAATCATCTTCTGATCTCTACATCATACCTGGGGGCGTGTGGGCGCGCGCGCACGCGCGCGCGCGCGCGCGCGCGCGCACACACACACACACACACACACACACACACACACACACACAAGAATAAACATGAGAATAAAAAGGAAGAGGAGGTAGAGAGAGGCAGAAGAGGAGGAGAAGGAAGAAAGAGCCCCTGAGCTTTCTCCTGGCCTGAGTCAGGCGGAGTTCTCCACATCAGCCGCTGCTGCTCTCCAGCCTGCGCAGTCCCAGGCTCCTCTAGTCCCAATTTCTCTCTTTGATACAAGCCTGTTCTTCTCAAGTTCACACTGTCCTTCTCAACTGGACTCCTCCCAACTCACCTCTCTACCCCCACCTTCTCTCCACCAAGCCTGTGCCGCCCGCCTGGACTCAGTGATCAAGTTAGTGAGAAACAGGCTGGCTCTTGTACCGTATTCCAAAATGCCTGCAAAGCCGAGCTCCATGGAGACTAGAGCACAAGGTAACGGGGGCAGTCGTTACCAGAGGAAAGCTGTCCAACCAGCTTGCCTTTGGTGCAGATCAGTAAGGTGGCCAGCAGGAAATGAACAGCCTAGGTCTCAGCAGCCCTTAATTAACCCAGGCCTCACCCACACCCTTGGGCATTTGCTTAGGGACTTGCAGGGTGATGTCGTGGAGGGAAGAAATCCTGGCTCAGAGAGGCCTATCCTTTTAGGGAGATGGAATAGGGGACCAGGCACCCCCTTCCTTGTGGTGCCTCTCTTATCCACGAGCAAAGTCACACAGCAACTCCCTGTGGATGTCCAAAGCCTCCACATTAGAGACTCTGTCCTCTGCATCCAGCTCGGATCCTCATAAAATGTAGACATGGCTGAGAGAGATGGAAAAGTCCACATGGCCTCTGTTTCCTTGGGTAGGAAATGAGGCTGTAGGCCAGAGGGTTGCTAAGGCCTCTTCAGGCTCAGGCATCCTGTCCCTGGCAGTCCCAGGGGAAAGGTGTTCCTCAGCCCCAGGGGCCTGCGGAGAGCTCTAGCCTGGGCAGGCATAAGGAAAAGAGAGGAAATGGAGAGAAATGTGAGCATCAGAGGGCAAACATGGCTGGCCATGCCCAGGGTTCTATCTGTGTGTGCCTTCTACAGCTTCAGACCAGGCTGCTTTTTGTTTTGCTTTTTTTTTTTTTTTTTTTTAACCGCTCAGACCCTAGCTCCAGGAGCAGGAAATGGCCATCCTCCCCTTCATCACTTCCTGGCAGCTCTGGGAGCCTCATTTACTCTGAGGAGTTGGACACTCTAAGCATTCCACAGGCTGGGAGAGTACATGCTAGCCCTGGGTTCTATCCCCAGAAACACATACATACATACATACATACACACACACACACACACACACACACACACACACACACACACACACACATCCACTAGGCAAGGTAAGCATAGGTTCTTGGCAAGCAGCAATGAGAGGTAAGAAGTTTCTAGATGGGCTATCCTCCAGAGCACCACAAATCATTGCACGTTATTCAAAAGCACCTATGTTTTTCTACCTCAAGAAAAAACTGAGTTTTATTTATCCTTTCAATCAGGATCACACACACTTGCGCTCCTTGCTACTTGGAAGGCTCAGGCAGGAAGAGGGTGATTTTGAGGCCAACCTGGGCTACACCGTAAGACTGTGACTAAAAAGGAAGAAAGGAGTGGGGAGAGAGAGAATAAAAGAGAAGACAGGAGAGAGGAAGGGAGAGAGGGAAGGAAGAAGGGATGGAGGGAGGAAGAGAGAGAAAGAAAAAGAGAGAAGTTATATCATGCTAAGTGTTTTCTGGACACCTTATTTCATTTCAATTTGTTTATTTATTTAGAGACAAATTCTCACTATGCAGCCCAGGCTAGCCTCAAACTAACCACCCTGCCTCAGCCTCCCATGTGTTGGGATTGTGGGCCTGCCTACCATACTTGGCTTCCAACAGTCTCTGGGCTTATACCCACTCCTCCTCAATGTCCTCCTTCATTTCTCCGAGCTCTTCCTGCTGCAGGGCAGTGGTCCCAGGATCCACACTGACCACACCAGTTAGCAAGTGGCACTAGCTGGGCCACCTCGTGCTTCTTCCCAGACAGAGGCCAGCTCCCTTGCCCCAAAGTGCTCCCTGCCTGGTGTGCGTGGATGCCAAGACTACAAAAGGACTACCCTGAGGCTACGTAGCCTCCGGGCTTGCTTCCAGCCAAGACCTTCTAGGCTAAGAAGCAGCTCGCCTGCCCTGCTCCTCCATTCCTAGGCATAACAGATCATGTGCACATCGGATTCACCCAAAGGAATCCCCCTCCCCCCTCTAGCTGTGAAAAGGAGAGGCCACTGGCAACGCTTTCCTGACCTCTTCTTGACCTCTCTTCCTCTTTTCTTTGCTTTTTAGAACCTTAGGTCTCTCTCTTAAGCAAATCCTTCCACCTCTACAAAGCCCAAGCCTACTCTGCAGAGACCAGGGGAAATCTGCTTGTCTATGACCTAGTGACCCTGTTAGTAAGAGGAGAATAACTTGCCTGCTGCTTTGGGGGAACTGTCAGGGGTGCCGATGAGACTGTGGGTGACACCAGGGCTCCACGTGTACCAGGCACGGTCCTGGGGAGCTATGTTTTCATTTGTTTCTTTCATCTTGGCCATAAGCCTCGAAGAAGTGTAGCGTTGTTACCCTCTCCTTTTCCATCGGTGAATACTGACGCGCGTGCGGAAGACGCAGCTGCCATTTGAGCAGAAGTGGGACTTGAACCCAGGGAGTCAGGCTGCTGCCTGTGTGCCCAACCCACAACACCAAGCTGTCCCAAGCACTCTACAAACATGGAAGTGTTGCAGGCAGTCTGCATACCGTAGCTCCCCTCTCCTCGCCAATCCTGGCCACAGCTAGGAGATTAATGGACTCTGCTCTGGGCTGGGCAGTAGAGGACGGGAGCCAAGCAGTGATGTACAACCTCCTGCCAGGGGGAAGCCAGCCTAACACCTAATCGGATCAGACACCCCTCCCAGGCCTTCATTCCTCTACCTCCTCCTCTCAGCTCCGACCCCACCCCCACCCCACGCAGTTCTACCCTGCCTGAGGTCTGCAGCTGCCCCAGTTGATTTTATAAATGGCCCTTGCAGGAGGTGGGCACCTTGGCTAATTGAATCAGCGCCCAGGAGGCAAGAGGCAGGAGGCTGGTTAGCATCACAGATGAAAAGTGGTGGCAGCAACAGCTTGAGTGTGGAGTCACCCGGGAGGAGCCTAAGTGAGCCAGAGAGGCCGAAGCAATCTGGGCCCTACCGAGATGCTGAAAGTCCACAGCGGAACCTCCTGAGACACCCCGCTGTAAGCAGGGGGCAGGTTTCTGCAGATCACACCCAGCACACACAAACAGCTTGGACACGCTGGAGAAAGTTGGAACAATGGGAAAAGAGAGAGTCAGAAAAAAAAAAAGAAGTGAGAGAGGAGCATAGGACATCGGTGGTCATGAATTTGGGTACATACCTCTAGGGGGGGGGGACCCTCTTACCTGCCCTGAAGCCACTGCATAGTTCAGTTGTGTGTCACACAAGGACTTCTCAGTCAACAGCAAGCTGTATATAAAACTGCAAGAATAAAGTAAATGAAAAAATTCCTCCTGCATGGTTTGTTTGTTTATTTGTTTGTTTGTTTTAGTTGGTTGGCTGGCTGGCTGGCTGGCTGGCTGGTTGGTTTTTCAAGACAGGGTTTCTCTGTGTAGTTTTGGTGCCTGTCCTGGAACTCACTCTGTAGACCAGACTGGCCTCAAACTCACAGAGATCTGCCTGCCTCTGCCTCTTAAAGGCATGAGCCACCACACTGCAGCCTAGTATTTTCATGGTTCCTCTTCTATGCTCAGATGTTTACATACACAAATACCATTGTGTTACTATTGCATGTACTATTTCACACATAAACAAGCTCTACATGTTTGTATCCTAAGTGAAACAAGCTATGCTATACATATAAAATATAAATATTATAGATATGATTGTATAAATGTATATAATTTATGCATTGCATGCATATGTATGCCATTTAGTATACAGCAATTATATTAACACAGAGACATATATAAGCATACATACACCATATACCCCAGGTATGCAGTTAGAAGTCATCTAGGTATAAAATTCAGTGATGACAATGGGTAGTGACAAATTTCTCTCAGTGCAAGTCCCTTCATTAAGTAACCTATGACTGCAATTAAAATATTAAGGCCATCTACAAGTGTCTTAGATACAGCTAAGCCTCTCGTGGTATCAATGGATACCAAGCGGCTCGCCTTGAGCCCAGAGACCCTCTCTGGGCTGATGTCCTTGGCGATTCCATTGCCCTGGCCCACAAAGGCAGGTCTGTCTCCTTACCTTTGAACTTGTCCCTAGCAGCCTAGCTGGCTCAGCAGCTCTTCAAGGAGGCCTTGCCTCCAGGTGTCTGCCTGAGCTCTTTTAAGCTGCTTATCTCCCTGACCCATCACTAGTCATCTCTGCTCACTGCTCTCCACTGAGAACTCCCCTTGAGTTGGGTCTGGGGCTGTGGAGCCTTCCAGAATCCCCGCTTCTGGGTGATGGGGACATACAATGGGAGACGCTTTGTGGTGTTGGCTGAATGAATGATGCACACACCATGGAGACACGGCGGCTAAAGCTGGCTAGGAGGCACTTATAGCTCCCTTGCAGAATGGGGCACACCCACTGGCTCATTTCCTCTCAGAGGGCATCGAAAGCCTAGTCAGCGTTTCCCCGACAGCCCTCTAAAGACTTTCATTGCCCCTCCCAGCTTCCCTAAATGCTCTACTTCCGCAGCTGCCAACCCTCACCCCACTTTTCCCCAGTCAAGCTGGCCACCACTTCCCCCTTGCGAGATCACGTGATCTCAGAGTAGCGCAACCAGAAGTTCTGTCTCTTGAAGGTGAAGGGCACAATGGGACAGGGATCGGCTCAGAATCCTGTTTCTTGAAAGCGTGCACACACTTCCGGAGTAGAATTCTGAAGGTCTGAAGGGACCCGCTCTATAAAGCAGACTCCTGAAACTGCCCCCAGATGGCGTCAGACGGGGAAATTCGTCCCTCAGGACTAGGCACCCACCACGCCTGGCAAGCCTTGCCCCTGCTTGCAGTTTCCACAGGCTGACACTGCCCCCTGCTGGTCATATCCAGCATGACCACGTCAAATGCCACCTGAGGAAATTGGTAATGTGGCCTCCTTTGCTCTGAGACGCATCTACGGGACTCCTGCACCAATGCTCTTCAGTCATAACCTGAGGCACCGGGGCCCCTTAGAGAATTGAACCCACGAGGACCTTGGAACTCGGATTGGATGCAAACCTTAGCACTGACAAAAGGGTCAGAGAAGCCTCTCACCCACCCCAGCTTACCTACCCCTTCATTAAGTGGCAAAAGCTCCGGGAAAACAAAACCTAGGTGGCCACACACCTGAGATCTTGAGGGCATTGATCTGTGCGTCTGTTGCTCATTGCTCTCCTGAATTCTAGAACCTCCTCTAGCTCCAGCCCCGCTCAGACTGGACATTCTTCAGCCATCTTAATCCCAGTATGTGAGGAGCTAAGTCCCCACTGGAAACCTCCCTTCTTCGTGGGCCACATCCAGCAGACACCCATGCTCCACCGGAGCTAACTCTCTAACACGTTTTGGATCCACTGGAGGACCTAAGCTCCACCTCTCACCCCCAAGTCCACTTCCTGCAGCTCTGGGATTACTGTCCTAAAGATTTGGCCCGGTGGAATTCCTTATCCAAAAGCCTTGACCCTTACCCCACCCTCCTTACATATTCTGAATCAGCCATGAAGATGCTACTCCTTCACTTACAGTAGGTTTCTGTGTTGGTAAGATCTCCCAAGGTTCAAGCTATCCTAAGTCAAAATCGCATGTGACACACCTGACCTACAGAGATCAGAGGTCATTGCCAATGCCCAGCACTGGGGAAAAGCAGCCTACCTGTGTGTGTTGATGAGCAGGGAAGAGATAAAGTTCAAGGTTCAAAAATGTGGTTTCCACTGGATGTGTATTGTTTCCATGTTATCACTAAGTCAAAACTCCAACTGAACGGTGACGGATCAGGGATTCGATAGTGTCAATCAAGCCTTCCTGCCACTGAGTCTCCAACTGCTTCCTGACTCCTCCTCAGTGTCATCATCCTTCTCCCCAGCCAGGGTCCTCTCTCCTCAGACCCCTGAAGAAGCATCAAACTCCTTCCAACTCTGCAAAGCCCACCGTAAACACCACCTTTGGCTATGGAGCCTTTCTTGGCCTCCCAACGCTTATCTCCTCTGAGGCACACGGCCTTGTTTTGCTTTGTGTGGCACTTACGTCCCCTTCTCAAGGTCGGGCATCTGTGCCTTGTCTCTCTGAGCTCCTCACGCCCTGAGGCCGGCAAAGTCTACAGCTTCCTAGACATCATGTTCCATTGTACGGGCTGGCTGGACCAAGATGAGGAATACATGACCATTCCTCTCCACCAGCTCAGCTTTTGATCAGGAGAGAAACCATCAGGACACAACAGTCTGTGGGGAAATGGGACACAAGAGAGCCTTGTGCCCTAAGGGTTTAGGGGAAATTGCAGGGCTGGAAGGGCTCCTGGCTCCCATGGTATCACAGGCACCCTCAAATTACAAAGGGCGGGTCTGGAGCAGGAGAGATGTCTCAGCAGTTAAGTACTTGCTGCTCCTCCAGGGGACCCAGTTAGTTCTCAGCACCCACATGGCAGCTCCCAACTGCCTGTCAATCCAAAGCCTTCCTCTGGCCTCTGCGGTCACTGGGCATGAATGTGGTATACGTACATGCCGAAAAAGGGAGGTGGCCAAGTCAAGTCCTAGAAAAGGCTGGCCAGGGCCACACAACGGGTAAGTCTTATTCCTAGTGCATAAAAGACACAGTAAGTAATTCCAAGTCTTGGGGCTGATGAGATGGTTCATGGGTAAAGGTCACCACGACTGATGACCTGAGTTCAATCCCTGGAACTCACATGACGGAAGGAGAGAACTGACTCCGGCACGTTGTCCTTTGACCTCTGTGTGTGCAATGTGGCACAAGCCCTGCCTGCCCATACATAAGTAAACCAATGTAAAACAATGTTAAATGTCGAGTGTTCCCAGCCATCCAGATTTTCCACCAAGCCTTCATCCAGCCACTGCCATTTTTTTTTCTGTCCTTGCAAAAAGTAGACATGTTTGAAGATTTTCATGCTTTGAACAGATCTCATATTTCATGTGTTGGAAACAAAGTCTCCAAAGTTATACGCTCATGGGTTTGGAGGTGGGGCCTTTGAGAGGTGACTGCGTGGGCTAGTGCATTACCCAGGGATCAGCTTTGCTCTCCCTGGTAGACTTGGTGTCTTCTTGGCACTTGGTGTCCTCTGTGGTATTATCATGCAAGAAGAAAAGGCCCTCACTGGATGTCCACTCTGTTTGTGGACTCCAAAGCCTGAAGACCCATGAGCTGACAAAAATTTTCTTCTTCATAAACTACCTAGCCTGTGGCATTCAGTTATAGCAACAGAAAGCATCAAGATTAAACATTTTCCTATGGCACCCAGACCTTCTAGGGCCTCTGACCCAGCCTAGGCCCGGGAAAGACCTCACAGCTAGGTGAAGACGCATTCAGTGGGCCAGCCAGAGCACCCACCCCACCTCACAGCATCCACACGCCACAAAGGAGCAGTTCAAAATGAGTTTAATGACTAGAGGTTGAGGGACGACAGCCACCCTCCCTGCTAACCGGAAGCCAGGGTTGTCCCAGGGAGGGAACATCTGTAGGTGGGAGGCCCACACAAGCCAAGGAACCAGGGGATCTGTGGAAATCCTTTTGTCTCCTAACAGAACTGGCCTAAGTTCCCTTTAGACCCAAGGCAGGGAGAGGAAGTGGAAAAGTCGTAGGAGGAGGGTGGGTCCCTCCAGGGCCCTCTTCCTGCTCTGGGCTGGTGACTCACACTGTAAGCACACACACAGCAGCCCAAGCTTGGGGCTCAGGACGGGGCAGTGACCCAAAGGACTCCAGCAGAAGCCCCCCCCCCTCCACCGCTTCCAAAGACCTCCCTGGGGACCACATCTCCCATCTCCCGGCCACCTCCTTACTTTGGGCCTTTTTTAAGTATGACATTGTCATACTCCGTTGCCTGTGGCCAGCCAGGCACAGAGGAGTCTTGCTGGAGTGGGTTGGGACCCCCATCAGCAGTGGCCTGCTCCCTCCATGTCTCCCCCTGGCGCTCCCGTGGTCTGTCATAGAGGGAGAGGGCAGCCACGCCCTCAGGCTCGTCGTATATATGGTCGGGTGGAGGGGCCACGGGACCCTCCTGGATGCTGTCGTAGAGCGGGTCAGGAAGGAGCCGCGGAGGACCTTTCAGGATGCCCCTGAAGCTCTTCCCCAGGGAGAGAGCCACTGTATCAAAGGGTACGGCATATTCCCCCTCGGGGCCCCCTGGCCTCATGCCGGGCACCGGTGTGCCGGGGGAAGGGGAGGGCAGAGAGTCGTGGGGCCGGGAGTAGGGGCTTTCGGGCCGAGGCAGCACGGTGGCCATCATGGGCCCTGTGGCTGGCAGGGTTGGAGGCCCAGAAGGGGCGGCATTCTTCTGGGCAGCAATGGCCTCTTCTAGGGCTTGGAAGATCTCATTGCCTTGTCTCGTTTCAAACTCAAAGCTGCCTTCTCCGGAGACGCAGCGTCGGCCAGCCTCGAAGGAAAACGTCACCTGTGGGAAGGGGGGGAGGACGTTCTTTCAGCACCGTCGTTTCCTGGACGTCCACCCAAACACAGATGTTCTGGCCCTGGCCCCCCTCCATCGGAGACTTCTGCTCAAGCTCTCGTCCCTCTGCCCCTGTTTGCTGGGGTTGGCTGGTTGATTGTTTAGGGAAAGGCTCTCACTCTGTAGCCCAGGCAGGGCCTCCAACTCTCTCCTGCCTCAGCCTCCTTAGTGCCGACATTGGCTGTGTGCCGCTACATCTGGCCAATAGTTTCTTCCTGACAAGAACACCCACTCTCTCTCCCTCCCTTCCACTCAAGCGTCAACTGACTGACGCTCAAGAAATGTCAGCCGCTCCTCGGCCCTCCCCACCCCTTCTCTACCTCATCTCTCTCATCACCCAGACCTCTTAGGTTTCACTCCTTCTCCCTCCCTGGTCCTCCCCCCGCTTCCATTCTCTCTTTCTTTATTGCCTTTCTGGCTCTTCCTCTTAGGGAGCCCATCTGCGGTCTCAGCCTGCCCAGTTCAGCCCCTCACTCACCTTGTCACGCCCAAAGCGCCGAAGAAACCTGTAGGGCCAGTCATAAAGCTGTGTGCCTGGCTCAGGGCCACCCCACAGCTCCAGGGCACTCACCCCGGCCCTGAGAGTGTAGGAGCCTCGGAGCCGGCAACGCTCACTGGCTTCTGTGGGCCGCATGGTCACAGCATATTCCTTACGGGTCACCCCTTGGAGGAGGAGAAAAAGAAAGAGGCAGCTACAGGAAACTGTGGGTCTTGCATGCTACCCATCTGAGGCCAGCATGCCACAAGTTCTCATTGTGACCTATGACCCCCCCACCTCGGATCTTAAAGCCTGGGCCGCTGACCTCACCTCTTCCCCTAGAAGGCATCTCTCATGCCCTCAGCCACATCACCCTAATTCTGGGGCCACATCCTTCCTGCCAACACTGCCAGAGCCACAGCTTGGTTCTGTACCCCATCTCTCCCCTAGTCCCTGCAGTCAAACAAGCTACAGGTAAAGGCTGACCCCGCCCTCCTACAGCCAGTGTCCCTCCCCATGGGTGGAACTTAAATGCAAGAGCCCCTCCCCCTCTCCCCTCCCTCCCTCCCTCCCTCTCAACCCTATGTCTCCATCACCAGCCCACAAAGCGAGAACTAGGCCTCCCTTATCAGCACTGTGTTCTCTATTCACAGGACACCTGCACAGCCAAGCCCAGACAGACAGCAAATCTTTCCCCCATACAATCCCCCCGGTGCCACAAAGAGAGGGTCAAGACCAAGACCTTCAGCCTCCAATCAGGCAGGACAGGGTGAGCCAAAGGTGACATGCGGGCAAGCTGGTCTCCAACCACCTTTGGGTCAACACCAAGACGCCAGGAAGAGGCACTCGTGAGCAGGGCCGGGGCGGGGGGTGGGGGTGGGGGGTTGACCACAAGACAGGAAGGCTTGACCCGCAGCCAGTCCACACCTCTCCCTCCCACCCTCCCCCCTGCAGGGAGAGAGCGCCCCCTCGGCCCCTCGCCCTCACCTGTAGTTGAGCTGCTATACAACTCATTCTCCTCCATGCAGGGCCTGTCATTCTTTTCCTCCAGTCCTGCGGGCTCCTTCCTCTGCCCCTGGGGAGGTGGTCCCAGGTCTCACCGCCAAATCCCACCCCAAGGCCACTCTGGCGCACATACTTTCACTGTGGCCCTGACTGCACTTTAAATCGGGTTCCCATCCAGAAGAACTCCCCTAAAAGGGGCTCTGTTTCTTCAGCCCCCTGCCCACCGGAACTATCTAGCGTTGCCCTCCCTAGTGTTCCCATGGGCTGCCTTGTCCCCCTCACCGGGAAAGCCAACAGGCAGATGGCCTGTATCCAGTCACTGCGCTCTGCTGAGGGGGCTGCCAGCAGGTACAGGCGCTCCTTGGTCTCCAGGATGAAGGCACTGGTGTCCCGGGGACTGCTGGCCTCACTGCCTGCCTCGGCCACCCTCAAGCAGTCGCTGAGGCGGACAACCTTCCGAGTGGCCTCTCCTCGCCGGGTCTTCTCTGGGCCATCCTGGAGCTCCAGTCTGGCTAGGGCGCAGCCAGACTCTCCATATAACACGGCTGTGAACCGGCGCCACTTCTGAGCCCAGGCATGACAGGCAAAGGCCAAGAGGGAGTCACCAGAGGTGGAGAGAGAGTCATTAAGGGGAGAAGAGGGACCGTGGGCAAGGGAGTGGGGTGGGGCAGTAACACGGGGTGTGGAGAAATAGAGGTGCACATCACAGAAGAACCAGAGAGGCAGTGAGGACAGCGGAGACCGCGGGACGGGAATGAGAGAGCTAAAGATTAGCCAGGAGACCAAGATCTGCAAGCCGGGCTAGGACCACAGTACATGGCCTATGGATGCAGTGTGCAACAAGACAACAGGCCCATCTGTCAGGTACTGGGGAGAAGAGCCTGAGTCACGGAAGCCCAGAGAGGAACAGTAAGGGGAGGGCAGGCTAGACCAGAGACAAGTGTACACTCCATAGGAAGGCTCTGACTCCAAGGACTTCCAACAACTTTCCTTTTTGTCTCGCCATTAACAAGAAACCGAGAGCTAGAGACCCAGACAGGGAGAGGCAGGGACTGGGTGACAGCGGGAGGCAGAGGATCTTCTCCTTCAAAGAGGCTAGGGAAGGAGGAGGGTGGAACACCCCGGGGACACAGCTTCGTAGCAGTCAAAGGTGAAAGGAACCTCCACCGTCATCCCCAAACGGCCCCCTAACTCTTCCTTCCATATCCTTCCACCTCACCTCCCCCCCAATCCAATGAGGAGCGAGAAAACAAAGAAAAAGATGAAGTTGGCGTCTGCTTCCTTCCCCAGCGCACACACGAGGACAAACAGCCCTCAGCAAAGAGGGTGATCTGGGGCCTGGTTTAGGGGGCAAAGCACCTTCAAAAGGCGGGCTTCTCCCCCAAGGGCTTGTCCAAATTGGCGGAGCACATGGTCTCAAAGAGGGTCAAGGACATGAAGATCCCCTCTCCCCCAGGAATCAGCGTGCCCTCCCCCACCCCCAAGCTGCCCCGCCCGGAACCCAGCCTCGTGCTTACCTTGCCGAAGGTCTGCTGCTGCTGAAGATGCAGAAAGCCTTGCTTCACCGCCACCTCCTCCATCCTGACCATCACGGGTTCAGTGCCCCGCGGCCATCGCCTCTGCCCTCTCTCCGGGGCCTGTTCCCCCTTCTCTCTAGTTCATTTCCTCTCTGCCTAGAGTTTTCTACACTATTCTAGTCTGCTTGATGACGACAGGCTGATAGGCCCTGTGGTTTCTTGCTCTGTGTGTGCTTTTTTTTTTTTTTTTCATGAGTACACTTCAGGCTGAAGCTTCCTTCCTGCATTTCCAGTGAGTAACATACAATTTCTAAAAAAGCAAAATCTCACACTTCTGCCGAAGCTGGTGTGAGGGACTGAAACACAAGAACAAAGAGCCCCCCAAAATCAAGTGGTACAAGAAAGCCAGCAATGAGGGCTCTGTACTGCAGGCAGGATGCTGACTATTATCAGAGCTGGAAGAGACCTCGGGAATCAGTCCATACAACCTACTCACTGCAAAGAGAAAACTAAAGGTAGGGATGTCTGAAGGGCCTGTAAGGCTACCAGCCAGGTCCCACATCTCCCAACTCAGGCAAAGCTAAGCCATATTCCCAGTAATGTACAGAAACAGACGTAAGACTGGCAATTGGGGATCCCCAGCCAGCTACACACACACACACACACACACACACACCAGTCCCATTATATAAAAGTATTTCCCCTTTAATCCCAGCACTCAGGAGGCAGAGGCAGGCGGATCTCTGTGAGTTTAAGGCCAGCCTGGTCTACAGAGTGAGTTCCAGGAAAGGCATAAAACTACACAGAGAAACCCTATCTCGAAAAACCACACATACACACACACACACACACACACACACACACACACACACACACACACAAGTATTTCCTACCTGCCAACAATACACAGCCCTGTGGATAGTCTAGGATAAGAGCATTCCCTCCAGAGATTTATTCCCCAAGTACTTCTCAGCTGTTGGCTATCTTCGTCACGGGTGTTCCACAGACACTTGGGTTTCATGTGAAACTTACCTCAAATCGCAGGAGCTTCAGAATTCCTCGTTCTCTTTCACCAGCCATATTTTAGCCCTTGACAAAGGCAGGCCAGGCAGGAGCACATCTGTTCGCATCTTACCTGAGATCACAGAACTGAGATGGAGGGGGGTAGATTGTTAATGCAATGGAATTTTGCTTATTTGTTTGTTTCATTGGTTGGTTTTAGATGTTTTGAGACAGAGTCTCAAGTAGCCTGGGCTGGTCTCCAATACATGTGTCATCATGCCTAATTAATGCATTTTTTTAGTGTGTGTGTGTGTGTGTGTGTGTGTGTGTGTGTGTGTGTGTGTGTGTAAAGCATACCTGTGGAAGTCAGACATCAACCTCAGGTACCCGTCCTCACCTCCCACCTTGTTTGAGACAGGGTCTCTTGTGGTTTGCTCCTCATAAGCCAGAGTAACTGGCCCACGGGAGGAGGCAGCTTCTGGAGGTTCCCTGCCTGCGGGGATTGCAGACACTAATATTGATTTACATAAGTTCTGGAGATATGAACTCACACCCTCATGCCCGCATCGCAAGCCGTTTGCCCGCTGACTCATCTTCCCCGCCCTAATGCAACCTCTCTCAGGCCCTAACCAGAATGCAGATGCCATGCAAAAAGAGAATCACTTTTAGGAAAAGTCATGTTCCATGGAGAAATTCACCTTAGGGCCAGATGGCTTGAAGAAGCAGTCTGGAATAGTTAGGGAAACTGAGAATTAGACCATACTTCTGGGGGTAGTCCCATAAATGGTGTTTATATAACTCAGTCCATTTCTTCTACCATGGGGTTTCAGTGGCACACTGTTCATGCCGTCTGCTGTGGACGCCATGTGCAGACCAAAGCGCTCCGAAAGATGAATGGGACAGCTCTGGGTTTTGGGACCCGGGGATGTTACTCTAGCTTATCACCATCAGCCTTGCTGCCAGGGTTTGAGCAGGCTGGACCAAACACCAAGCAGCACCAGGAATGTTGTGATGGGAACACTGACCTGGGAAGTGGCTAGGAGTATGAAACGGGGCATGGATGGCCTCCTCTGTCTTTAGAGCATCATAGATTCTTCTCTTCCTTTCCCACCTGAGAAATTCTACTCGAACCCAGGTATACAAAACAGATCAAGCATTTACTGATAATCAAACATAAAGGAACATTTTTTTAAAATTTTATTTATTTTATTTTACAATACCATTCAGTTCTACATATCAGCCATGGGTTCCCCTATTCTCCCCCCTCCCACCCCCTCCCCTTACCCCCAGCCCACCCCCCATTCCCACCTCCTCCAGGGCAAATCCTTCCCCGAGGATTGCAATCAACCTGGTAGACTCAGTCCAGGCAGGTCCAGTCCCTTCCTCCCAGACTGAGCCAAGCGTCCCTGCATAAGCTCCAGGTTTCAAACAGCCAACTCATGCAATGAGCACAGGACTTGGTCCCAGTGCCTAGTTGCCTCCCAAACTGATCAAGCCAATCAACTGTCTCACCTATTCAGAGGGCCTGATCCAGTTGGGGGCCCCTCAGCCCATAAAGGAACATTTTAAAAAGAAGTCTTCAGTGTGTGTGTATTGTTTATTAAAGAAAGAAGCAAATTTCCATACTGAGATGAGTACATTTGCTCATTTTTACACAAATAACTACATGCTGGCTGAATATTTGATAATGTATGACACGAAAACCTCATTAATCAATCCCCACAGCATACTCATTGAAAACGAGGCACACTGGAGCTAGTGGTGGTCTGGAGGGCTCCTGCAAGTCTACCAGACCAGAGCCCAAGTCTCCCAACTCAGGCAAAGCCGAACAACATACCCAGTATTGAAATTCTCCTGCCTGCCTCCCATTTTGCTTATAGGGATCGCAGATGCTACTACAGCACCGATTTACAGAACGCTTGTCCTCGGTGCTTTTCAGAGTGGACTGATACTCTGATTTTACAATCATCAGTGCTGAGAATTCACTTCACATTCCCACAGTACAGGTGGGCATGGTGGGACACACCTGTAATCCTAACGCTTGGGAGGTGGGGCCAGGAGGATCAGGAGTTCAAAGTCATCCCAAACTACACAGCTAGTTCACAAGGTAAGCCTTGGAAACAAAAGATCCCTCCATCCATACATACATATATATACATAGTATAAAATGGCAGTAGTATGTTTAGGGTCATTTCAGAAGTTGTTGGAAATCCTACGCAAATCCTAAGCCAAAATACATGTAATAATCTTTTGTGAAACAAGTCAGCAATTCAAAGAGAAGTGTTTTGTTGTTGTTTTGGGGGATTTTTTTTTTTTTTGGTTGGCTTTTTCGTTGTTTTTTGTTTGTTGTTTGTTTTCAAGACAGGGTATCTCTGTGTAGCCCTGGCTGTCCTGGAGCTCGTTTTTGTAAACCAGGCTGGCCTCGAACTCACTGAGATCCACCTGCCTCTGCCTCTGCCTTCCAAGTGCTGGGATTAAAGGCGTGCGCCACCTCCACCCAGCTCAAAGAGCGGTTTTTAAAATCAAATATTCTAACAATACAATCCAAGGACATACTAATTTTACAGGTGCTGAGGAATGACTGTAGGAAAATATATTTTTTTTTTTCTGTTATCAAGCCATTATGTTTCTATAGCAGCGGCAAACTTGGTGTGTGCAGCAGTTTGTGGCCTATAATACTCTCGGATCTGAGCTGAGTGTTTCAGGCAGAGTCTCCGGCACTCCATGGTTTGGCAGTATGCACAGCAAACAGTGAGCATGTATGTTGTCGGTTTAGAAGCTACAATGAAGTCTTGCAGAGCATCGCAGAGAAAGCACTGCCAGAATCCCCTTCGACCCATCACACGCTTGGTTTAGAATCGTTAGTCTTGCATGTTCAGAGACCGTTGACAGTTGCCTTTTTTTTTTTCTACTCCATGCCCCATGTTCCGTTTCATGATCCCATATAGGGTTGTGACTCAAGAGTTTAAGACCCCAGGCTCTAGAGAGTCCGGTTTACCTGGAACCTCTGTGGTCTTTGCCTCTGGCTCTTGGAGAGAGATGGGGTTTGGAGTCACCCTGAGTGCAGGCAGAGCAATAGCCTTCACACTCTGACGGTCCGATCTTATCAAAAGCACAGGTTCCGGCGGTGGTGGTGGCTCATGTCTTAATCTCAGCACTTGAGAGGCAGAGAGAGATGGATCTTTGTTGAGTTCAAGGCCAACCTGGTCTACAGACCAAGTTCCAGGACAGCCAGGGCTACACAGAGAAACCCTGTGGTTCTGAGCAGTGTGGGAGTACATGCTTATAATCCCAACGCTTGGGTGGTAGAGGCAAGAGGATTGCAGTTCAAGGCCAGCCTGGTCTTAATGGTGAGTTCCAAGCCAACAAGGGCTACACAGCAAGGCTGTGTCTCAAAGCATCAAAAGAAAATCAACCCAAAAAAAGAATACAGACTCTTACTGGATGGCTCTGATGTGATACCACCGTGGAGTGGGCCAGCACGTGCCTCCCAGGTGTGCAATAAAAATGCTTTCTTGCCGGGCGGTGGTGGCGCACGCCTTTAATCCCAGCACTCGGGAGGGGGAGGCAGGCGGATCTTTGTGAGTTTGAGGCCAGCCTGGTAAGAATGCTTTTTTTCTCAACCAAGCCCCTAATCTTCCAACCTGAAGGTAAACCGGATATATTCCACTCACAACCACAGGGGGGCGCCCAGGTTTACCAGATTGCCTGGAAACTTTTTAAACCGGGCCTCACATATTCCAGACACCCGATCCCATCCCTGGCCCGCCGAAGCTGGAGAGGCACTCTTTCCACAGCTATAGTCTGAAACGGGTAAGGAGCTAGAGGCTACTAAGAGGACACACGTCTTCCATCAAGTTCAACTTCACCCGGCCGGGTTGGGAATCCTGAAGTGGAAACACTAACCACCGTACCTTCTGCCTGGCCTCTAGGGAACCACAGAGCAGGAATCGCGACTCCGTTCCCACATACAACAGAGGTGTAGAGAATGAGAGGGCTTTGGGGTCTCCAGGCCCCAGTGTCGGGAAGCAAAAATGTCACAAAGGAAAGGATTCCCAAGGTTCATACTGAGGGACAGGTGGGGTTTGGGCTAGCCCTTGGCTTCCTTACTCAGAGATTAGGTGACTCCAAAAGATCTCTGAGGTGGGGGGCAGCTACTCAATGGGCAGCTCTGGGCACACAAGAGAAAGGTTTAAAATGGGCAGAGAGATGATGTGGACAGGAGAAGGATAAAGGACTGGGCAAAGTAAGTGAGGATGAGGACAGGTGCCTGCCACCTCAGCTCCAGTGGTTCCTGACTGTGGAGGGTAGGACACATCCCGGGATTCACTGTTAGCCCCTCCCTTTCCCCCGTGAAGTATGTATAATGGTCCTCCTGTATCCATGGTTTCACAGACTGTAATTCAAAATCACGAAATGGAACACTCCAGAAACAAGCAATCCTTTAAAAAAAAAAAAAAGCGTAATGACACATTTCACTGTTCTACTTCATTGTCTATCATTATTCATCTTATTGTGGCTACTTTATAACTTTATCTTTTGTATATATGGGGAAACAGCATGCAGATGTTCCCTCCTATGTAGTTTCAGGCCATGTATCTCCCAAGGATAAGGGAGGCATATTGCACTAAGAAAAGAGAGGGTTCAGTTCTCAGCACCTTGGACCAGGAAAGGCACCGAGTAACTTTAAGAGCAAACTGGCCAGAACTGAGCCAGAACTGAACAGAGCATTGTGAGGGAGAAGGGTATAGAAGAGATGAAGTCAGACCACACAGCATCTATTCAGCGAGAGACCCGTTGAGGACTTTAAACAGGAGTGCAAATTATCCGTATTTGAGGTTAATTTTGCAGAGGTATGGAGAGGTACAGGAAGAAGGGAAGCTATAACAGGAACCAAAGTAGGGCTTAGAAGAAATGTAACAGGGATATCAGCAGTGAAGACAGGAGTCGAGTGGGGTGTGAATCAGATATATGTTCAACTGGACATGAAAGTGAAGACTGTGGAGAACTCTGAGGCTGAATAATCAAGATCATTCCTGAGTTTATTTTGAGAAACTGGGTAAGTTGGGTGAGGTACTATGAGAAGGGTAAGAGAAAGGGAGAACCAAATGTATCAGGAGAGACTGGACAGACACCTGAGTAGTCTAGCCTACTAGAAAGCTGTAATGTCTACCCAATCAGTCAAGTAGGGAAGCCAAAGAATGTCACTGCCACCGAGACCCCAAGAATCTACAACTGTAGAGCAACACAAAGCAGGAAGCCCCTGATTCCACCACCACCACACACCTTGGCCTCTTTACATTCATGGAACTAATGATTGGCCACTGGAAGGCTGAAGAAAGAGAGGGGGCAGAGAGGGAGAAAAGAGGGCGAGAAAGAGATTAACAGGGAGAGCTTGCCAGAAACAACAGTAAGCTCTGCCTTACTTCTGCGTCCTAAATCTTCTGAGTCAGTCTCATTCACTGAGCCAATTTTGCAGGCTGAACCCCAGCTACAGGGAAGTCTGGGTAATGTAGTTCCTACTTGTCCTACCTTCGCGAACCAGAAGACACACTAGGAGGTAGACGGAGGTTGCAACGACTGCTGAAAACCAGCCCAATATATCCGCAACAGAAATACTGTGGGCCTCATTACCATCCTCATTTGCACCGCAAGCGGCAGCCCCAGTAACAAGGCAGGTTTAGCTCTGTTAGCAAACTTAAAATAACTAATGTTGTCGAATTCCTGCTGATTTAATCTGGGAGCCTTGAATATAAGCCCGAGTGGAATCCAATAAAAAAATAGGAATCGACATTCTCTTAGCACAGAAAATTGTTGGCGGAGAATCGGGCCTCGGCGTGCAGATATTGACCTCACCCAATCCAAGAGGGATAGCTTTCCCCTTCAGCCAGGGGATCCTAAGCACCTCTCCCAGCACTGGTCAAAATAGCAATCGTTTTTGTAAAAATTAAACGGCGGCTCTCTACATTTTTGATCATCGCTCATTGGAGGCTATATCCATGGCTGTTGGTGGAGGAGGAAAAGACATTAATAAAAACAAGGCGATCGCGACTGGGGTTGCTGGTGAAACCCGGATCAGAAAACAATGACCCTGGTCCCCTAGAACAGGCTAGGAAAAAAAAAAAAAAAAAAAAAAACACAAACGCGGCCTGGTTAAGAACAGTGTTCTGGGAAGTCATGAACGGTGCAGGTAACCCAGGTGGAGGTCTTTGGCCCTGGGGCAGGGCCGTCCAGCGGCAAGTCAAGCAGGCCGCACGTGGACAGGCGAAGCAGGGTGCAGGGTTCCGGGTGCAGCCCCGACAGCACAGGGAACGGCAGGCAGCGTGGTCCACTTCCACGCGGCGCCCGCCCGCGCGCGAGATCGAGCGCGGCCCCTTTAAAACCCATGTAAACAAAGCTTTGTTCCCCCAGCTCCCCTCCCTCGCGCTCCCCCGGCCCTCCGCTTCCTCCCACCCGGCGTCTCCGGGCCGCTGACGTTGCCCGCGCCTCTACGCCGTCCCAGCGGCGCTGCGCATTCTCCAACCCAGGCCGGCCGGCCGGGGCCTGCGCAGCCGAGCGGCGCTACGCCACGAGCGTAGAGCGCCGAG